ACGTGTTCATGGCAGACAAACATAATTATGAATTCTTGTTTTAGTTCCATTCAGTCACTCAACATCAGGTGTCTGCTTGTCCTGAGCTGTGAGAACTACAGTGAGTTGCTTTCCTCTTTAGCTTAGTATTAATAAACCAGGTCGTAGGTGGGCACCTGCATCAAGGAGTCAAGAAGCATATTTTACTGTTTAATGGTGAAAATAATGGATTGTTGTTCATTTGTTTAATGGAAAGACTGAAAGCGTGGCCTGGTGTTGACTTACACTTATTCAAAGTGATGAAGTACCAACATATACTAAAAGTCACAGCCTGAAACACGTCAACTGCTTTATTATTTCTGGTTTTAAATAAACTGTAAGAGCAATGTGCAACAACAAAGAAAAAATCCCTTAAATAAAACAGTACCTAGTTCATATGTTTTAAGTTCTAACTACTAAATAAAACACAAAAAATATCAGAGAAATGCTTCAGTACTGTAAATTCATAGAGGTAGGTGCAATAAGGGAACATGATTTGTAAATCAGTTGAATAATTAAGTAGAATAATTTGTTCTGAAAACTGTAAAACTGTAAACTCTTTGGTAAAAACAGGAAGAACTACATTTGAAAATGAATGATTGGAATCCAAACATTTGACTTTTGTTTTTCCTCAATACTCCATCCTCCTCTTAACATTTTTGTTTTCCAGCTTTTTTAGAGGGAAAATCATTTATTACATCACTGCAAGAAATCTGATGGCCAACTTTGTTATTAATACTTGTTACTGTCGGTCCACTCAGTCTTTCTTGTGCCGTGGAAGGTCTGTGGTAGTTGCTTAAGTACACAGTGAAGGGCAGATGATGCTGCCGTCTCCCTGTCTGCTGTGTCCTCTCATCTACAGAAGTCTGGACTCGTGAGCGAACGTGCCAAATAAGAACTAGCAAGTATGCATGTACGATCTCTTTACTTGGTACTGAGAGATGCCATCTAAAGGAATCGACTCTGGACTAAAGCAGCGTTTTAACCATTTCATTGTTAGCCCCGCCCCCTAACTCTGATGGGTGAGGTTGACGGATGAAATAAATTCATCATCATCATCACAGTAAACATGGAAAAAAAATAATAATTAATTTTTCCTAAAAATGAATGAGTTGGTTTTAAATGAATTAACATTTTAATTATATATAATATAATAACTCAACATTTTTCTGGTTAGGTTCATTTGGACATCGAGCAGTAATAGGCTTCTTCACCACATCTAAAGGAGAATCACACTTTTGGCATAGAGGGAACCTTAACAGGTCTCCTGGCACTGCCATTTCTTGCCATTAAGTAATCTTTGCCATCACTGTTATTTTCTTTAACATTTTTAGTTCTGAGCGAGCTCTCAGTAGCTTAGGCAACTCATTTTTCTTATTTTGAAGTTTAACATTTTCTTCTTGTCTCTGTTTTAACGCTGCACTAAGCTCACTGACAGGAGGAGGATTCTTGGACCTTTGGCTCAGTTTCTACTTGCTTTGCAACCTCATCCACTCTCCTTTCAAGCTTAGATGCCTCGCTCTGTTTTGTAGTCTGTATTGGAACAGGCTCATCATCATAGGAGGGTACATCAAAAATGGAGTGGGCATGTACAGCTGCTTTTGTAGAATGTTACGCAGAGAGGTGTCGTGAGGGAAACATCAGAACTGGTATGGCTGGAGGGCTAGGCACCAGCGCAGTATGCTCGCATTTTGATGTTGCTTGGAGTGCATCCACACCAGGGGTCTGTGATCTGTCTGAAGAATAAATTCTCTTCCAAGGAAATAATATTTCAACGAATCAATTGCCCACTTGATTGCCAGTCCTTTTTCTACTGTTGAATATTTTTGTCTCCCTGTCAAACAGCTTTTTACTTAAGAAAAGCTTCACCAGCTTCTCCCTGAGCCAGTACTGCTCCAAGTCCAACATTAGAGGCATTTACCAACAAATGGTTTGGAAAAATCAGGGCTTTGCAAAACAGGGGCTTCAGAAATCTGCCTTTTTAAAGATTGGAAGGCATGTTCACAGTCATCATTCCACATCACTTTAGAAGTGTTTTCTCATGAGATCTGTAAGAGGGGCTGCCAAGGTTGAGAAATGGGGAATAAACCTCCGAATAAACCTCTGTGCTTTTGCAGCGTTTTTCTTTTTGCAAGTGTTTTCTGAAGTTGCAGTCCGTTTGGCCTCTCAGGGCCACCGTAGAATACTCATAATACACAGTAAAGATTGGACAGCTACTGTGTGTGTGCGTGCCCATTCTTTTTCTCTGCCACTAGATGGTGATGATGTTCATACTTTGTGACTTTTGACTTGTTTCACAAACCAAAGCCAATTTCAGGAGTCATTCCAATTTCTTCAGTTCAGGAGGCTCATGAGACAGTGAAAGGAACCAAACACTTAATATAACAGGTTCATTCCAGCTTCTAGGCAGTTTTGGCAATAAAATGCTTGTATTCTGCTAATGTTTGCTGATCGTTCCTTAAAGGTCCCACAACAGCACACGATCCTTCATTTTCTAAAGAATATGTAAAACACAATCTAAAAATGGAACTATGTTTACTGTCTCAGCTGCTTTCTAACACTTTCAAACAGCAAGACTTGGTTCACTGCATTTTTGTCTTTAAGAGAAAACATTTAGGGAATAGTGCTGTGTTGACTCGCTCTTGAACACACTATAAACCATCCACTTTCCAAGAATAGCTCAATTTGATCATTTTTCTGCACGAGTCGATAATCTGAAGCACTCATACCTCATATGGACAGATATAACTGAAAAGTTAACCCACAGGAACCTATGCCATCAACAAAATTATACCATAGCATAAAATAGAAAGAAAAAAACACAGCCTCATATCTTGATATTGCCTGTTCTATCAGATCCAAGACGGGTGCACTATGAAGAAAAAAAATATGTATTGATGGGGATAGTTTTAGTGTCAGATGAAAGCGATACAGTCCAAAGCTTCTGCTTTAACATAATAAATAATACATCTACCCATCATCACACACTCATCACCAAAAGGAAATGACTGTGATTAGACTGGATGTGACTTGAATGAAAACTGTGTTGCTTGTTCCATTCTGGTAGATGCAGCGTTTTTTTGTTTGTTTGAGAACAGCAAAATACAAATACAGTATAATTTTACAAGTGCGAGAGTTTCCAGCGTTTCAGATACATATATAAAAAAAGAGAGACATCAGAGGCAGCGTAAAGCTCCACCCACCCGGTGCTGTCTTATTAACGAATCGAGCACACCCGCAAGTCTTCCTGTTTCGGGGAAGTCGCTGTGTGGGCCGAAGCGCTTCGTGTTTGCAGAATATTCTCCACGTATTTACAAGACAGGACTCCAGTGAAGCGACACAGCTCTTACAGCCTGTTCTTAGCGGTAAGTTCCCAGTGTGCGTTTGTTTAAGCAGCTCAACAGCTCACTGACATGACAACTTTAACATGTATGACAACAATCTGGGTGCTGTCACGTGAAGTTGTACGAGCTGTGTTTCTGTTATAAAATGAAATAGATCCATGTGGTGATGAGACATTTGTGCTGTTTTTAAACTCCGACCACAGGAAAGTGAAAGTCATGGTTGGAGGGGCGTGACACTGGTCGCACTGTCAGCCGTATCCATAAGAATAATAGTGATCATCACTATCACCACCATCACCAGCACTATGTCCAATCTAGTACCTATCTAGCAGTCTAGCATTATCAGGGACTACAACATCTAGTCCTTTTACTGAATCAGAATTACTACTAACGAGACTAATCCATCGATCCGTCCATCTCTTCTCTCTAGCGTATCCAATTCAGGTTATGACACCTCGCAGGTTTGTCGCAGGGCTGCAGATAATCACTGACACTGACTAACCTAACCCCACTAACTGGTTGTCTTCTTGTGGGACGAAGCTGTTGAGAACCCACGCAGACAGGAGAGAATGCAAACTCAATCACAAGGGCCCTGGCCAGATGGTGGATTCAAACCTAGGACATTCTTCCTGTGAGGATAGTAGTAATAATAGTAATAATATTATTATATGAATAGTAAAGATAACCACATTCATTGATGTGATTACATTATCTGATGAGTTTCACAGGCAAGATTGTACAGCAGCTATAAAAGTGTTTGCATCACCATTTCCTTAAATGTTTTTGTTTCACAGGTGCGATGATGAACTGTTGTGGTCTGCTAACATTCGAGAAAGAACCAGGTACTGATAGAAAATAAAGAGACTATGTTCACCAGAACCTCACTTCATTATTAAAATCTTCATGTATGCTTATTTCTTATAACAGTTTCATGTGGCTAAAATGTAACATTTTTCACTAGAATATATGGGCTGTGTTTGTATCACAATTCTGTTTGTCTGTCAGTTCCTCTAAAGAGCATTGAGGTGGAGCTGGAGGTGAGGGACCATGTGGCTACAGTGGTCTCCACTCTGAACTACGAGAACAAGGAGGACAAACCATTAGAGGCTGTTTTTGTCTTCCCTCTGCCTGGAGATGCTGCTGTCTGTCATTTCAGCGCTCAGATTGGACAGACACAGATTGTAGCTGAGGTGAAGGAGAAACAGAAGGTGAGCTGGACAGTAAATATAACCTGATTATAAGTGAGCTTCAAAATAAACGCAGTGAATGTCACTGACATGTGTCACCTGTGCTTCAGGCTCGTGAGGAGTATGATGATGCTCTGAGCTCCGGTCAGCAGGCCTTCCTATTGGAGGAGAGTGATCAGAGTCCAGATATATTCTCTCTGAGTGTGGGCAGTCTGCCTCCAGGAGAGAGCGCCTCCATCAGGTTGGAGTACGTCACTGAGCTGGCTGTGCAGGCTGATGATGGTCTGAGGTTCTGTCTGCCTGCTGTGCTCAACCCTCGATACCAACCTCAGGGTAGGACAACTTCAGAATACTTGGACCAGAAATGCTTCAATGACACTCTTGAAAACGAAAAACCACAACACCAACGAGTCATGGCAGATGGTTGAAACTGGTTCTGTTGGAGGTTTTCTGTTGAAAGTCCGTTTTTCATTCTCACTGTTGCCAAATTATTGCTCATATTGGGTCATGTTGGGGTTTCTCTGTATTATTGAAGCATTTAGAGTATAAAGCACAGGTAACTGTTTTGAGGTTCTTAGTAACGTAAAGGATTTCAGTGTAAGCAGCCTCATTAATTACAGCATATTTTACCTGATGTTGTGTGCAGGTAGCGAAGGTGCAGGTGTCCAGGTGACTTCTGTTCCAGCCTCTCTGGTGCCCTACAGTCTGTCTTTTTCTGCTCGAGTGTCCTCTCCTCGTCCAGTCTCTAAAGTAGAGTCCAACTGCTCCCTGGACCCTCTGCAGTACCTCAACACCGATCAAACCCAGGCCACGGTAGGTAGAGTGCTGATGTGTCTGCTGCGTGTGGTTGTTACTTGTTACTGAGGAATAAGTATGAATGTGTTTGTGGTGTGCAGGTCAAGCTGGCTGCAGGACACAAGTTTGACAGAGATGTTGAACTGCTGATTTATTACAAAGACGCCCACCAGCCCACTGCTGTGGTGGAGGCAGGACAGGCCTCTGCTGAGCCGGGTGAGTAACATTAGTGTTGTTATTAGCTTTTTAGTAAAAAATATCATTATTTTATTCTTCAGCTCAAGAGTTATCGTTGTGATCAGAAATTTACACTTGTTGTGGGTATGAGTGGATTTATTGTCCAGCATAGATCTTTAATGAATTTGAAAAATAAGAATTGTTAAGCTTGCATAAGTGTGAATGTATTTTGGATTTTCTCTAATTCATACATGGTTCAAAGTTTACAGTGGTCTAAAAAAGTGTTTGCCCTCTTCCTGATTTCCCTTTTTAGATTTTTTAGATTGTCACACTTTCAGGTCATCAAACTAATTGAAATATTAGACAAAGACAACAGAAGTAAACAAAAAATATAGTTTCTAAATGAACGTGTTTTATATGAAAGGGAAAAAACCCAAACCTACATCGCCCTGTGTGATAAAGTGATTGACTGACTTTTTAAGGTCATGTCACGGCATCTCAATCAGATTTAGGTCAGGACTTTAACTAAGCCACTCCAAAGTCTTAATTTTTCTTTCCCTTAAGCCATTTACAGGTGGACTTGCTGTTGTGTTTTGGATCATTGTCCAGTTTGAGGTCATGAACAGATGTCCAGACGTTCTCCTTCAGGATGTTTTAGTAGAATTCGTGGTTCCATTTACCACAGTGAGGCTTTGTGTTGTTTTTTGTCAGCAGCGGTTTTCTCCTTGAACTTTCCTGTGAATGCCATTTTAACCATTTTTTTTTTTTTTAATTGTTGAATCATGAACTCTGACCTTAACTGAGACATGAGACGACTATGAATTCAGGAAGGGGACAAACACTCTTTCATACCACTGTACATACAGCTTAAGTACATACAATCACTAAAATATTTTACTGAGTGGTGCTTAAAGTTCTGCGATTTCTTTAAACTTGACAAAGCCACAAAGTTTCTGGGAGAATGTCCTGTGGATAGATGAGACAAAAATTGAACTTTGTGCCAAGGCACATCAACGCTATGTTCACCGACGGAAAAATGAAGCGTATCAAGAAGAGAACACTGTCCCAACTGTGAAAGATGGGGGAGGCTCGGTTATGTTCTGGGGCTGCTTTGCTGCCTCTGGCACAGGGTGTCTTGAATCTGTGCAGGGTACAATGATATCTCAAGACTATCAATGGATTCTAGGGAGAAATGTGCTGGCCAGTGTCAGAAAGCTTGGTCTCAGTCGCAGGTCATGGGTCTTACAACA